CTAGTTGAACGTCAATCACCGCTATCATCGGCCCTAAATGTCCCAATAATGAAACGAGTTGGCAGAATCCATATGTGGTAATGGATAATATGAAACGCAGTCTGTGGGAGTGAACTCTTGCCGTAGTCCCTCAGCAGAGATAAATATTTTCAATTGCAACTCGAACCATTGGTTCTAATCCCTTTCAATCCGGACGCTCAGCTGATTGCTCCGTTGACAGTGACTCAAATTGTCTTTTTTCATCGATTGACCTAGAAATTGTTGCCATTTTATCTTTCTCGTTAAGACTGTTCTCGTTGAGTTTCACCCATTCATTTTATATTTATTTATTTATTGGTTCTTTAACGATATTTGCAGCAAGGGATTTGCCATCGCCCGAAGGCCTTCAGCCTATTTTCACTTATTTGAGGGCAAAAATAGGTTTAGACGACTCAAAAAAAATGTTTTTGTTCTATAAATTGTTAGTAAAACTAACAATTTATCAAAAATGTATTCCCAAAGTTTCAAATAAAAATTTCAATTCATTCTGAAGTTATGCGTGATTAAGTGAGCGTCTCCCGTTAAATGATTCTTGAAATCTCGTGATAAACACAGGCGGCAGATCCGTACTTCATTCCCGGACAATTCGCCAGCCAAAGTTATTTTATTCAAGTGGCGATTGATGTCGCCACGAGCGTCAAATATAGGCCACTCAACCCGACGTGATCCATTTTGTCGACAGGTGTGAAAAGAATAACGCGCATTATCACATTACTAATTTCCAGCAAACCCTACAACCATAACTCTGAGCTATCGGTAGGTGTCTGGTATGAAATTCCCGTGAGTACAATTAATCCATAATTAATTGAGTATTGCAGAGGGGGAATTAAATTCCACTCTCTAGTGGATGTTCTTTCGACGTTGCCTCCCTGCCCCATACACCCCCCAAATATGGTGGATTGAAAAATGTGATGGTAAACCGTGTGAATTTAATCACAGTTTCAAAGAGCTTCGAGAAATTTGTGATTAAAAAAGTTAACCATGTTAATATTCATTCATTATTGAATATTTTCAGACTTTTGCATCATGTAATTTCTTTTTCCCTCCAAGCTGAATTGAGTTTGAAGTTTTTTAATCAAATCACTGCACAAATACTCCACGAGGAACTGCATCCATTTACCCAATATATTCATCACGAATAGTACTTTTAAAATTTCATGATGGGCTTACATCGCTGCTATTTCAATGACGGCTTTTACGAGGTTAATCACACAATGATGAACCGCCGTTGAAGTTTTACCACAATATGTATCTGAATATCAGTAGTACCCCTCGGCGATCCCGGAAGTCTGCGTTCAACGGAAGCACTGAATATATTCAAACGCATGGAACATTACGTTGTGTTAGATTTCTCCTTCAGGCTCAGGCTCCTCGTTTCACGTTCCCGCGTTATATTTATTTTTCAGGATTCATAAAAGATGCTGGAGAGCAAACTTCATGCCCGCACTGGGATAACCCTCGCTTCCGGTCAATTCTCGTTTAAACATTCTTCTTGGGTGCCTCACGGGGGATTTCACAACTCATCCAGAGAAATTGAAAAACAACATTGCAGAATTCGGCGCCTCATATGCCTCGTATTTTTTCCGCAAATCCTGGTATAACGGGAAACGAAAGCTTCGCGTGAGGGATATAACCCCCGGCAATACCTTATGGCATCCTCATATTGGTTGTAAAACTCACACTAGCTGCCTGCCGGGTATGTATCACGTAGAAGCTATATCCGCAAAGCTCGCAGATAAACCGTATTCTTACGTCGCTTCCCTCGCAGACACAGAAACGCAATGTCCTTCCTTTTTTTTTTTGACTCCCGATAAAGTTCGAGTTGACTGGGGAAAGCCGCACGATTCGATCCATCATCCCAATGGTTGCCGAAAATTGGCGAAGAGTGAGTGACACTTCGGGAGGTCGACACTCGCAAGTGATTGGAGCAGTCTACAAGTCTACTGGGGAATTCCGCTTGAATGACGCCCCCCTGGGACTCGAAGTTACGGACGACGTATTCACTTTCATATGTCACTTGTCAATTTTTCGTGAACTCAGACACATCTCACTGCACGAGAACCTATTTATTACTGAACGTGAAAGAGATCTTGAATCGGCAGTAGAACTGTCTGAACATTTTTTTTATTTCTATCCTAAAATTTCAAATAATATTTTGTTCTGTATTGGAAAAATTTTGTCCGGTTAATTGTAAAATTCATTGGGGTGTAATAGTTTTTGCAGGGCAAATCGTATTGTAGTGTTATCATTATCATCATTATCTTCACCATCATTTTCCAATAACTAGTGTGACCCCAGGCACTAAATCTTCATATTACAATAAATAATTTTCCCGTGTTCTAATTCCTATGCTCACTGAATACGATTTTAATCATAATTACAATTCAATTTTTCTAGAACACACTTTAGAGTGTGAATTTCTGGAATTCAATGTTTGTTGATACTCTGGTAAAACTGCGTGCCCCCACTGTTATCAATTTTTAGTTAGTTCACACGGTAATTCAATTAATCTGTTCATCTCATCAACACAACTACGTGCTTAGAATATTATCATCTCGTGTTTTCAGCACCAAATTAAAAATTAAAACTGTATTTGGAATATTAAGTCAGCTTAATTTTTTTTATTCACATCAGAAATTTTGTATTTGGATATTAATATTATTTGTTCAAAGTGAAGAAATCGATCATCATGTTCATTATATTGCATTCAGATTCTGCTGTGCACGGAAATTTACCCGTGAATATACTTGAAATTTCACAACCATGCGATCCCTAAATTCGATTCAATGTCACTCTCATGAGATTTACTATAATATCTTTCACGAAATTTCAAGAAATTTCTAACAATTTCTTTTTTTTAATCGTTATGTTACATCGCTTCGACCCGGTTAGGGTATACTGCGATGATGATCAAGACTTTAAATGGTTAGATCGCACCATTCTACCCGGCCGGGATTTGAACTCGGAACCTTTCGCACGTGAGGCAACGAACTTACCCACTGCGCCAAGCCACCGGGCATCTAACAATTTCTGTGTTGTGCCTCCGAATTTTCAACTCGTGCATTGATAATTAATTAATTGTTTCCCTCATATAGAGGTCCGGAAAGTTGAAGCATAACATACAGCCTCCCGCTGTGCATGCAACTTATACCTTAAAAACATCTAAGACTTGACCAAGTCGATAGCCCGGGGATAATGCGAAAGCACAAAATTTGCTTTTCACAAATCAAATGTTATTGTTCAACACTCAGTTTCCATTAAATTTCATCGCGGAGCTTGCACCGTACGATAGAATGATTATTCTTTGTTGTTTGTTCATTCGTTCACCCCTGCTTCCGCCAGTTCGACAAGTCAATCCTTGCGGAACCACTCTATTCTCTAGGCTCCCACATTCCCGAAATTGCGTTTGTATCTTTTGAACATCAAACGGTTATTGTAACATGCACTGTTGATCCCAACTACCGGTTAAATCACATTTTTCTGACAGTTCCTCCAATTCCCTCTGTTTTATACTGTCACGAATGGCTTCAACCATGTAAGAAATCGATACCCAGCTAGCTGAAGAAAAGAAGACAAATATCACAATCGTAGATAGACGTAAATCTTGGAACGTTCCATTTTCTTCGTTTTATATTTCATCTTGTCTGATAATACGTAGTATCCATTGGCACTACCTCTCAAATCGTCCGATAGAACGACCTCATAAATTTATATCATGTCGCCTATACTCCGGGAAAGCTTACACCGATGCTTGGATAGGAGACCTGGATATTGAGGGCTTACGCTGTGATCTGTCTATGGTCGTCTTCAATCGATTCAGAAACAGTCCTTGCTCCTACTTTGTATATCAAAGTCCGTTTTTCTTCATTCAAAAGAAGAAAAAACAGTACAATGCTAAATCTTATTCAAAGGTTTAGAGATTGACTGGGCTCTGCGTAATCAATATCTAGGAATTCTGTACAGGAAAGAGTGGATCGCGATGTTGGAATTATGCATATATCCGGCTGTGAAGTTTCAACAGAGAACTTGATGGTGGAGGTAATACAAGGTGATCTCAAACCACAGGAGGCTCCTTAGTGGCTTGAGACCACTGAACCGGAAGGAAATAACCTTCCTACAGAAGACTCAGCCATTTGCAAAACGATGCCATTAACTACTGCACTTGTTTCACCTATTCCTCTTACCACTTTAACCCATTATAGTCGATGCCACGTAGCAATTGGGGATCATCAGGCGAATGTAACTTGGAGGAGCGTCTTAGATCTCCTATACGGTTCATTTCAGCTCAGCTTACGCCTCCGTAGAACCGAATTGCATTCCCAGGAGCGTTCGTCTCTCGAATGGAATCCAATATTATTTCAAATTATTCATTCTACTATTGAACATTGTTCAGTGCCTTATTTATGCAGATGTTATAGTGAGAAAAACGAGTACCAAGACCCACGCACGAAAAAAGTTAATAGAAAAACCTATCGAATTCGTTTGAAAATTCTATTAAACTTTCTATTAGTCTTTGGCTGATTCTATTGACATGTGCAATAGAATAAGTTATATAGAAAAACTGAATTCTGTTGACTTTTTCTAGTGAATTCGATAGGTTTTTCTATTAAATTTTTTCGTTCGTGCCGCTGAACCTTATTTCAATATTCTGCTTACTTTGAAACGAAAAAAATTCGTGTACCGCCGAGGAAACTTTTTACTTTTGATGGCCGAAAACTCGTGCGGTTACACATCCCATTTGTCCCCAACTGAAATGAGAAAATGTATAACTGTGACTGGAGCGCAATGGTGGATGAGTTCTTTTTAAAGATCTCATCAGAACACGAGGTGTATTTATCAACACCTGTTCACCTCAATGGATTGAGTTGAATTGTTCCTGTTTCTCTCTTATCGCTGAACTTTTTTTTCATTTTTATATCAAAAAGTTGATGAAGATGTGAGAAACAATTTTTTGCTTTCAGGTTATCACACTTACACACTCAACGATACGTCCCACACGGATCGCATTGAGGATGAAATTCTTACGGTGAGGTACGAGGATGGTCGGTGGTCAAAACCGTATTACGACTGCGGTGGTGGAAACATCTGGATGCTGACATATACTGTACCCTTTTTTGGATACGCCAACGATTCGTATTTTTTCAAGTGAGTATTCAATGGTATCTCTTTGCCCCGTTGCTACCCAGCAATATTTATGACTATTGGGATGTAACAAAGGGAAATATTTCGAGTGACTATTATCTTCAATGTGACGCAGAAATTCATGAGTTAACTCTGTGGTATTGAAAAGGGTCATCAGTAAACTTTGAATGCTGAGGGGTCATTAGTAAACTGTGAACAAGAAAATATGACGCGCAATTGGGATTTCAATATCATGTTTCTTCTATTAAATTGAACAGTTTCAAAAAATTGAACAGTTCCGAAAAATCGATTCCGAAGCTGAAAAAATTCTCTCCGCTTCTCAGAAGTTGTCAATAATCTTTAAAATCGAGGATTCCGTTGTAGTTCCCTAACTACACCAATACCGATTAAAAGTATATTTATACATGGAAAGCTTGCCAATTATATTTTCACAGTCATTCGGTAGTGGCTCAACGCGCGCAAGGCGCATACCGGACGCGGAACGAAGTGAATAGAGTTCCTGCGAGCTTTTCTGAATGTTAACGGGATTAAAGTCCTGGTGAGCTAATTGGAGAGGCTTATAGACGCGATTAACCTTTTAACTTGAAATTCTGGATCCCGGTAGTCGCCAATTAATATACTGATTCAATTTGAAACTCAGTTGCCTGTTTTTTCGTTTTGAATAATGTAAATTTAATTCCCTGCACTCGGAAAGTTAACTCAATGGCTCCTGTTGGTTTAATTAAGGACAGTTCTCAGAGATTTGTCAGGTTCATTATAGAATCTCCGTAGATTGAAACTCCAGGAGTGATTGGAGCGTTCTGAAGACGCTCCACAATGAAGGTTTCGATTTCCTTATTTTTTTTACGAATGTGGGGAGTATAAACATAACCAGAATTGGAAATTTAATTCAGAATGAGTTGAATCGTCGGATAATATAGCCGCGGTGGCTCTCGTTTTCGCGAATTAAAACGTTCTACTATTCATAAGGCGGACTGTACTCTGTGGGGAAATACAATAATCAGGTCAGCAACATTTCAAGCGGTATGTAAATGAGAACTTTTCATTTTCAGAACCATCTAGTCTCGCATTCGACGTGAATTCAATGACTCATCTTATTTCGGTACGGAAAGAACATGTCTAGAAATGGAGAAAAGTATTTTAGGCATTTAATATGCTTTGCACGTATCAACTCGATAGACAAATGTATTTTTGTGATACATCGGGAGAATATACAGAAAAATATGTGTTGTATGTATGGGCGATATCCGAACCATATATACGTATAATAGGATATGTCTAATCTTCTATTCCTTGTTTATAATTTATTTTAGAACGCCGAGAACAAAACGTTTTTAATTTTTAGGGATGTATCCATTTTTTTCTAGTCACTAATTGGAATTACCCGACATTTGAGGGATTCAATCACTGAAATTAAGGGACGAAGTTCTTAAAATTTACGATTCTGTCACTGGAAATTATTGACAAAGTGACTCGCCCTAATTCCTCACTCGTTAAACTTTATAATTCCGTAAATCGTTAAAAACAAAGTTTTTCTTTTTCTGTAAGAATAGACATTCCCAATGTTTCACATGTACTATACACAAAAATTATACAGATCAAGTATTTTGTTCACATATAGACTGTTAAAAATTTTTGTCATGTGAAAGTTCCATTGAAATTTCAAGGAATTTCGTAATTTGAAGGTTTGAAAAAAAATTTAATTTGAAAAAAATCGATGATAACTGCAAATTTAAGTTCAACTATTCCATGAGAATTAACTGAACTCACGAAAATTCAGCGTAATTTGGTACTGATTATTTATATTTTGATTGACAATTCAATCATGTTGGAAATTTTCATCTTCTTGCTGCGCAAAAAATCAGAATTTCATTGAATTTTAAGTGAGATTTTGACAATTCGAAAATCGTTCTCCCCAAAATTACCAGTAAACTGTCCTGGGCATTGCAATTTTTTGTCTAACAGTGTAGTCTTTTCCATGGAGTTTCATTCACAAATAGTTTTCAGCATCGTATCTCACACGAAATTTAAACAATCAAGTTGCATTGTTCCCGGATGCAAAACAGGAAGATAATCCTCGACACGGTACAGCAGAATTACTCAGGGGGAACAAAGACGTATGGTATGAGACTTGGATGGTCTGGAGTTGTACAAGCCCCGACTTCTGCGAATGTAGGGAGGCGCCTCTTCACTTGAGTCTGGGGCGGGGGGAGGGACGAGGTAGCGACGTCGTGAAGAATTCCCGAGAGGTTGGATGTTCATATAGCTGCCTAAATTTGACTAGAATGTTATCTCTGAGTATTGAAGAAACCCATATCTTCCATTTCAATGTATCCGTGAAGCTTCCGCGTACTCGTGAAATACTCAATTATCGGGCGACTCATTCAAGTGTCACATTGAAACGCATTGTACTTTTGATTACTTCTGAGAGTTCTCTAAACATTTACGTTGTCATGTTGTCCACAATATCACGCTAGTGCTATAAATTCATGAGTTCATTCGGTGATTGTGCTGAGCCACTTGTGTAAATACCAGTTTGAAAATTTAATTTCTCATTAGCTCGAAAAGTCGAATGACTTGAATAGTGAATAAACACTTTAAGAGCTAAATGAATCATTCAAGTATGAACGCTGCAGGACTTTTACATTCTAGGCCACTGTTTCAGTTTCTCGATTTTATGTCACATCCGCAATATTTATTCCGGGCTGTTACTTCGCACAAGACAAAAAAGTTTCTGGTTTCATGAAAAAAACAATAAATTCTAGATATCACAGTATATGCATTGCATTCTGATGGAATCCAAACAACTATTCATTCTCTGGAGGAAATGTATTGAGTTAGAAAATTCATTGATTAGAGAAAGAAAAATTAAATTTGATTGTGAGAGATCATTGGGTCAGAAAGACGAATAACACTGATAGAATTATTGTCATATTGAGGGATTCAATCACTGAAATTAAGGGACGAAGTTCTTAAAATTTACGATTCTGTCACTGGAAATTATTGACAAAGTGACTCGACTTTATGATTTCTCACTAAATCAAAAAATCATTTTACAAATGGCATCAATAGTGAAAAAGCTTTGTTAACAGCAACAAAATCCGGCTATTGGTGAAGGATCAAATATCATGCTTACGGATTTTGAGGGAGGATTAGGCAACGTGAGATCCGTCTTCAAATTTAGATTGCACAGATATACAGAAAAATAAAAAGCCCCGGAAACATTTCGGGACAGGACGATTTTCAATTCTGCGAATTGTTGATCCATGTAAATTCTAGGGACGTGAGGATTCTTGATCCCTTTAAAAACATGCTCTGGTTGCCACGATTTAACGTCGGATAAAAGGTTAGCCCATAGCCGGTGTTCACTTTCCCATCAGGTTATTTCCATCAGCGGCTCGTTGACTTAGACCTCTGTGCGATCTCCAAATATTTGGAACAATGAGCGGAGAATAATAATACAAAAGGATGGGAATTCCTCGGATATACGAGGGTGATTTATTTGTTTTTGGTAGATAGACTTCAATCTCTCAACATTGTTCCATCCTATTTCGAGAAGACGAGGTCAGAAAATTGACATTTTCACGAGTTGTTGTCTTTTCCATCGTCCTTATTATTCCTATCGAATGAGAGGTTTCACGGTTAGCTGCTGGGAAATTCCGAGAATGCTACTCCAAAAACACGGAAATTCTCCCGATGGGTACTTCAAAGTAAGGAATGCCATGACATCAGACATCCCTTTGAAATTTAATCGTGAATTTCTTCGACATTGGAGGATTGAAATTATCTTCTTCTGGAGGAAAGGTTTATTCCAGTGAAATGGTTCATCTGAATTAACGTAGTTCTACCGCTCCAGAACATTTAGAGATTATTAAAATACATACGATACAATTTCCAGAGTTTCTGCATACGATTTCCAGAAACTCAATTGGATCCGGAGCACAGGAAAGAAAACGTTTTGATTTTCAGGAAAATGTTACTGATTTTCAGGAACCCGTCTCGATTTTTTAGCAATACGGAGCTATTTTAAACAGTATTTATCTGAATCAAATGAAGCGATTTACTCAAATAGTTTATTCACAGCAAATCAATAATTTTTAAAAAACATTAACACATTTTTCCTCCATTCAAGTAGACTTCATTAGTTAGAAATGAAATAATTGTTTAGGCGCAGAAGAAATCGAATTTATTGAGAAATAAGACTCCTTTGTTTGGAATTCATCGATTTCCAAGAAAACTTTTGTGGAAACGAATAGAAAATTTGGAAAATGAAAATTTTTATTTCATCCAAATACGTCGTCTCTCTGGGTGCAAAGCAAAAACTCTCCGGACACTGTGAAAAATGTCCCGTAATCCTCACCAGTTTTTTGGCACTCATTTATATGCACTCCCGAGTGTAATGCTCACAGAAAGGGAACCATCGAGAAATATAACGAATAGTCCCGTCTCGGACACGGCTTCTTAATCCGTTTTTTCGCTCAGTTCCATTTCCAATTAGATTTTTTTGTCATCATGTTTCTGTGTGATAGGAGTTCCCCTCATAAATCCTTGCTAAAAGCTCTCATGGTTCGTATAATGAGATAAGCGTGGGAAGGGGGAGGAACAAAGAGGAGATAGCACGTCATTGTATGAGATATGTGAGCGTGATGGTGGAAATGTAGGCACAATTATATCGCTCATGAATGACGAGTACATTTGTTAATTTGGATATGAGTTTGTTCGCGCACTCGTCTGTCCACTAAACTGTTTACAACTTTCCGAAATTCTGATAACGGTTCTCCAAACATCAAAACGTTCATAACTTTAATGATTTTCATTGAATATTTATGCGATATTCTTTGGGAAAAAAGCAATCTTCGCACGATTTTGTGGTGTTATAGTAGAATTCAGTTAATTTTAAGTAATGCGGTCTGATTAAGAATATATAAGCATAGATCTGTAGTTTTTTTTGTAAAAATTGAGGATTTTCTATTTTGTTCACAGGAATTTTATACTTCCTACATCAAAAATTAAAATTTTTCTGTTTCTTTATAATTTTTTTTAAATGTTCCCAGACGGTTCAAAGTGGAGGATCATGTGAGATATTTTTCAATATTTTTAATTCAAATGAAGTTTATTTAATTTAACTAAACCATTTCCGATACAATTTTTCGATCATTCGACAAGAAACAAAAAGTTAAATTTTTCTATTTCTCTATCAATCTTCCCAAACGATTAAGGTATCTATTTTCCTCAGCTTTTATGAATGTTCCCTGTCGGTTTTGATTTATCTAAGAGTTTTCTGAACATCTATGTTGACATGTTTTGCGCAAGCATCACCCCAATTTTATAAATTCACGAGTTCATTTGGTGTTTGTGTTGAGCATAAATACCGGTTTGAATGTTTAATTTCTCATTACCTCGAAAATCTAAATAACTTGAATTTTGACTAAATACTTCAAAAGCTAAATGAATGATTCAATTATGAAGATTACGCTGCAGGACTTTTACATTTAAGGCCACTTCATTTCAGTTTCCAGATTTTATGTTAGATTCGCGACATTCTCGTTGCAAACAGAGAAAAAATTCTATAAATACTAGTACATGCCGTCTCAACTAAGGAAGCTTTCGCGCATATTTTCGCATCGGTAGTAAAAAGCTGGAGAAAAAAAAATATAATAAACATCTGAGGGAAAAGCCAGAGAGCAAGAGCTCGTGGCTGAAAGAAAATGCAGCAATAACGGCTCTTGAACCATTACCTGCTGGGGATTATATGCGGGCTGTGACACTTTCCCAGGATTTGTTGCCATATGTTGTTTAATATGGAATTCTTCCCCTTAGTTGCACCGCTGCATTATGAATTTATTCAATAGGTTGAAAAATCGCGTTATTTAGCGTCAGCTTCAGAGGGCACATTTGCAATTCCTTTTCTACAAACAGTTCTATACATGTCAAAATGCTTGAGCACTATACAGCCAAGGATTGATCAATTGATCAATTTCTTTTCTATTCAGCTACAACCGCAATTGAGCAATACATTCTGCCAGTGCTTATTCAATGATAGTGGGGGCCGTGCTTTTCGGGAAGTGAAAACTTCCACTGCTATTTCTCAAGAGTCGAAGATATTTCCCCAGAAACTCGTTACACTCTCTGGTATGAAAGGTATTACCTACCATATCGTATACATTTTTCTATTATGTCGAAACACTCGCATACCAGTGTATAGGTGAGGTTTCAATTCTTCTGAGATTGGAAATTCTGAGAGAGGGCAAAGAGGATTTTCGAATTTCTATCGGGAGGAATCCTTCACATCCGTCGTCTGTTTATCGCATGAGAAAATGAACGGTAAGAGATTCGGGCGATCCTTGCATTAAAAAATTCTGGATGCAGGCCAAGATGTCGGGGTCTGACTCAGGGTTATTACTATTTATTATCATTTCAGAGTAATGATTTTTATGAATAAGTCATTATTAATACATTCACTTTTTGTATTTGCTACAATTTTTTTTGAACACACAGTTTGAAATTTTTTTTAATGCCATTCGTGTGTTTTTATGAGGAATGTCTGAGTACTTTGACAATTTTTTTGCGTTGGAATCCTTTTTAACGCATACACAGCGAAAATGAATGTCTGGATAAAATGAAAATGAAAATGTAAATTTCGGACGAACAGGTGTTTAAACATCTTAATTCACGTCTGAAATTCTGACAAATTTCCATTTTATTCAAACATTTTTTATTAATAAAAAAGGTTATTAAAAAAGTATAAATATATATTTATTTATTCATTTATGAATGAATATCTTCGTTACGAATTAAAATAGAAAAAGATTCTAAAGAAACCAATCTTTTAAGCTAATTGTAAGATAAATTTGAAATATTTCCAAGTCTTGTACAAGTGCGGCGAAATATATTGCCGACCGCAAATGTTCAATTTTTTTTTTAATGGAGGAATTCCCAATGTAATTTAATCGACGGGTTTGATGATAATTGTAAAAAGAAATGTAAGGATGAGATTTTTTCAAACGAATCGTCGTGATCGAATCGTCGTTTGGAGTCGTCTTTATGTAAGCCGTGTCTGACTGAATATTGACCGCGATCACCTCCGCGGTGGTTCCGTTATCTGGCGAAGACTTACGAAAATTTTTCCAAAATTGTTGCAGATTCGAAGTGTTAATTATAGTACCTAGATTTCGCTGTGATTTAACAACCTGCGAACGACCTAATAGATTTTCGAAATAACACGGAAAGTTTGAGAATAGTTTGGGTAAACCACAAGTACGCACCGCGCTTAGTGAGTTTTCACCGTTAAAAATACACACATAATGGCTTTCCGAGTGTTTTAAGAGGAGATATCTAGTAGTGCTGAAGTAGTACTACAAAGTACGTCATAAAATACACATAGCACAGTGAAACGTGGAGATGAGCTCGTAAAGATGAAAAAGAAGAAGAAGGAGGAGACAACGAAGGAGTTGATGAGCCGTTGTTCATTCTCTCCTCAATGAGAGGTCGTTACGATTCGAAAGTATACGCAAGTATCTCAGAGGTCTCGGGAGAACTTGCAGACTAGAAAAATTATGGTGGAAATAAAGTACCACTTGGAGATCATTCCAAACAGTGAACTATCGAGCTGCAACTGGAGAAGTAGATCGTAAACGAATATAATTCTCGATGGAGCGTGACTGGCAGTGGCTCCTATGAGATAATGGAATATTGAAATAGAGAATTCAGAAATTCATCGGCTATAATGTGCACTCTCATCACCTTGCAAATGAAGAATCGATAAGGGGGGGGGGGAATATGATATGACTCGTTTATGCGAAGACTTCATGAATATCGCAATATGCTGGGCAGGTGCTCTTATATTAGGAATCGTTGACAGCGATAAAGGAATGGAATTCTCGGAGAAACATTTCCCGCGCGGAGACAAAAGGTGAAGAAAAATTATCTAGATTATTCTATTCTAGACAGTCATGTGACGTCATATTTTTTTTGGTCATAATTTGAGTAGTTTCACATTGCTATTTCGATGGAGTACGCCGGGCACATAAGATTTGTGTCGCAAAAAATGTCATAAAATGGAGTAGCTATCATGAACTTTTGAGTAGTTTGACATTGTTATTGCTATTCAGAGGGTCATATGACGGGAACATAAAATTTGTGTCAGAAAGTATGTCATAAAACTGAGGAGTGACCATGATATTCTTTAGTGGAATGAGACGGTCATATGTTAATGCTGTCGTAATTTGGTCATGTGACGTGGGGATGGACGAAAGTAAAATTTTAAGCACAAAGATAAATATCTTTATAATTGACCCCGAGAATAAATTTTACCCTGGGGGTTATTTGGATAACAGGGCTTGGTGCAAGCGGGCCTAAATGTGAAATTTCGGAAGAATCAGGAAAATTCAGGGAAAAATTGAAAATTCATGTCATTTTATTTCTGAATATTCATGTTCCATTGAAAATTCAGTCAGGTTGTAAAATTCCCGCCTCACTACCCTGAAAACTCATGGACTTTCTTGACTTCTACCTAAAACTCGAAATTTCATAACCGTTTTCCCTTAAATCGGATTCAGTGTCACTGCCATGAGAATTTCTACCATATTTTCCATGAAATATCGAAAAATTTCCAACAGAATTAGCCTTAAATTGCGACAGGGAACAATTCCTAACAGTTTACCTTATCAACTTGTTCACACTGCAATACTTTTAATTCTGTTACGCATCACAAAGGCACCAATCTGTCCCCCCGAACGGCTGACTTTCTCATTATTGATTCACAGGTTTAGTACGAAAACATTCATCACTGAAATCAGTATTTCATGCCTGTACCAGACTCTCAAATTAATTGGTACTCATGGCAATGAATATGAAGAGTTTCACGTCCCGATCACTGGAAATCAGAATATGTGGAATTCGGTTGAAAGCATTCCAATCGCCAGTGGACGGGATTTTTAATTCACAGAACGGGTTGACACCTATCGACATGTCAGCGCCACGCACTCCAATTTTTGTGACAAATTGGATTACAAACTTGTCATGCTTGAACCATTCTCGTTCGTGGTCATGAGTTCACTGGGTAACTGATCAGAGCAGTTTTGGTGGTTCCCATCTCCGGGTAATTTTACGTGTGATGAATATCTAGGGACTGGTAGATTTTGCAACATGTGAGGAAAACAGACCATTTCGAATTGCATGTCAATTATATTTCGAGCTGGAGACGGTGTGCGACAAACGCACAGCGTAAAATGAGGGTCTTTTTCACTTTCAGTCCACAGGGACTGGCTCCTGTCGTAATTAACAAACTTGCATGTATTCGTACGTACATCAGGAAGTAGAGAGTGCAAAGCAATGTCCATGAAATAAACATGAAATAAACTCATTAAAGTCACGGGATCTTTACAAAAATGCTGAAACTCCACACGTTTTAATTCCAAGATTATTTTAAAACGGAGAGTAAGCTCAGTGTTCGGTTGTGAGAATAACAAGCTTCTGTTCCGTTTCGTGATTAAAAATGGAATCTGCCGTTCAACGTTAGTACCCAGATATGTGGAAATTTAATCAGCTGAATTTTCCCGGAATTCCACTTGGACGGGAACAGTATTCAGAAGGAGTTGGAAAGCTCATTCGTTAGCTTTTGAAAATTAACGTGAAACGTGAATAATTGGAACATTTCAAATCGTAACACATGGCAATCACAACTACAAAGCGCTATAATGGAGATCGATTGCCATAGAGCTTCAGTAATAAATTGATATGTCGATTAATTGGGGGAACGCACACGAAAATTTAATATCGGTCCAAAAATTGAATCCGTAAGTTTTACATCGACGCAATGTTAAAGATTCAAATATGTTTTAACTGAATAGGAGATTCTCGTAACGAAGTTGCATCTCTATAACCTGTTTCTCAGAACAAATTCCAATTTTGGTGATATTTGTATGATTTCAGAGGCACTAGTGGAATCGACATTGATTTGAGACGAGTGGATATTGACCAGTGCCCAGTACCACTCGGCTCGTCAGCCATCAATATTTTTGCTGCCAGTGACAAATGTAAAAAACGCACTACCGAGGTAGGTATCTTTGGGATCTAGCAATTTGGATGTTTTCGTGATTGTGTTGACTATCCCTCCTGAACTGGCTCAATCAGCACCGCGCCGCCCGTTTTCGAATTTTTCTTTCTTCAATGAAATGAGAGTCGATGAAAATCTGAAAAAATTACAATGCCTATTTTCGGTTGTATTGAATTTATTGACAATTTTTATTGCGTTCATACTCGCTCAAATCAACTTTTTGCATTAAATCGCCACTTTTTTCCTAGTTCTACTACCATTTCCTATTCATTAGAAGTTGAAACCTTCCTCTAAACCCAAAATTAATCTTTTTTTTTCGAAACGTGTTTTTTCATAAATGGTAAAATGATACGGGCGGCGCCGTGCTAACTGAGCCCTGGCTGGAGTTGAATCGGCCGGCGGGCGAGCGCCAGTTCAGGAGGGCTATTGGTACACTGAGAGAAAAACAGCAGAGTGCATAGATGTGCGAAAACAAATTGCTTGTTAAAAATGATCAAAAAAGTATTTTTTGGGCAAAACATGCGAAGCGTGCGCCGAGATTGAAATTTTTTATTACAAAAATAGATTTCGGTTTTTCAAAAAACGTTTATTCTCTGTGCAAGCGAGAAATGTAGTTTTTAACAATACTTCTTTGTTATTCGATGCTCGTTTTATATGAAACGAGAGATAGTAGTTTGTCCTTTCAGTTACCCAATAATCGCAGACGAGGAATTAATTTTTTAATGAAATAATAATAACGATGTGACAGCAATTTTTTCCCTATATAAGATATTTTGATTCAAATATTTCGTTGTTATTGAAAGCAGAGCTATTATTCATGTTTGAGAATTTCAAACTGGAACCAAACAATTAGTTTTTTGATAATTCTCAACTGACAATTTTATTAGTTGAGAATTAGTAGAGACTTGTTTGAGAATTTGTTCGTTTTTCTCTCAGTGTATTGCGTACTGTAGCATAGAAAATTTTCTCTCAAATTTTCTGTCCGCAAATTCTATGGTACTAGTGTGTGCCGTATGTACCGTTCGGCTTAGAAATAATCATGTTTTTTGCATTCACACTAAGAGAAAATAAGATGTTGTAAATAAAATTATGTATTTCAGAATTTTGCTGTCTGAATTGCACAATTGCGAATCCTTAATAATTGCAGAAGAATTCCTGATATTCAGTGATTTGTCCCTCGAAATTAGTGACACGTTCCTAACAATCAGTGGCATGTCCCTGAAAATCAAAACTCTTTCAACATCTTTCTATGCCAGTATCTTCATTGATCTTGATCTTTTCGCAGTGCATTGCTATTCCGGGCCTTGGATTTCGACGGGGGAGCTATCGGTGCGTATGCAAGCGGGGATTTTATTATCCTGACACAAAATCCTCGGAGCGATATTACAATGGCACAGTTATCGAGGAGGAATTTGAAAAACTCATGGTGGTGAGTGTTCCAGCCTTTCTTTTTTGTTCATATATGGGATATTCGTTGCGAAATCAGACACTATGGCTATTAATGGATTGAATTTTTAAATTTTTGGCTAAAATTTCTGGTAGATTTGCTCAAAATTTTTATTACATTTTAGGTCCATTGAAATTGCAAGGAATTTTGTCATTGAAAATGAAGAGTTTCAGGGAGAAATCAATGGGAACTTTAAATTTCAGTTCAATTATTCTATGAAAATTAATGGAAATCAGTAAAATTCCGGGAAATTTATGCGATGACTATATGAATGTTCAATTAATTGTAAATTTTACGTAATTTGGCACCGAATGTTCATGTTTCCATTGAAAGTTGGAATAAGTCGAGGAATTCTTGTCCTTTTGCTTGTTAAAAATTTGGAATTTTATTGAATTTTCAGTGAAATCAGAAATTCAATTTTTTTTGACGCCTCTGCATGAAATTTAAATTTTTCTAATAGTGTCATCGCACTTCAGAAAAGAAAAAAATTCAAACTCGATTTTCAGTACTTTTTCAACCTATATCGGGGAAAAAGTGCGAGCCGAATAGCGAATTTGTTATCCGTTGGCCCTGGAAATTTTACTTCCATTCGTCTCCATGACCTTCAGATGGACGAACGACAATTTTTGCATCCACAGATGTGTTTTTTTACGGAACGAATCGTAAAATACATTCGTTCCATGATTACCTTTCGTCCAGTAAAATTTTCGTTAGCTACCAAGACGATAAAATTTTACGGAAATCCTCTATTTATACAGGACCCAATCTTCACCACGCCAATTAAAATTCATAAGTCAAAGAAAATCAAGGTGGCTGAGTAGGCATGAAATACCCCATATATCATAGTGTCCATAATTATTTAATGCGCCCTAATCCCGAGCCATCATCCACTCACCAAACAAACGGGATTCCAGACGATGTGAAGCTCCCAATAACATCACCGGTTCACCAGTATTCCCCGTCAGTTCTGGATCTAACTTTTCGTTGAATATTAACTCAAAACTGATGAATATGGTAATGGATACTCCGTCTCTAACGAATATTTGCTTGAGGATAAGTCAATTTACTCCCCCCGTGAATTTCCGGTAATAAACTGCTTGGTTAGAGGTTTTCCAGCAATAAAACTATTTTTATCTCTCTCTTTCCTACCAATATTAGCAAACAGAGTGATGAAAATGTAGAGCACTTTTACGAGAATGGAAAATGATTAATTTAATCATTGGTCCACAGCCACATGCAGAACTGATGAAAACAGAGAATGAGGTAAATTCGTCTCGTCAAACTATTTCACTTGCCGGCTGGTTCACAGCTGTCGACTGAATTTTCCCCCAGTACACTCAGTGACAAAAACAATATGGTGGAGTAACTCTGCAGAACTTTCATCTCTAATAGCCGGGGAAATAGCCAGTTTATCTTATCCGAGAATGGATAACAGAAATATTCTCCTCTTTGTCAACTTCATACGGCACAACAGACCGTTATATTTTTATTATCATTTTTTATTTCCCCTTGAAGTTTCATATTTCGTTGAATGATAAAAATTTACTCGGAACTTTACTAGGGGAGGATGGGGCAAAACGGCCCCCCTTCAATCGTCAATATTTTCCGATTCAATAATCCGATTGGGATGAGTTAGAGCTCGTTTTGAAGAATGAAAAATTATCTTCAAAATGAATTTGAAACTGGGAATTTTCACAATGTCATTCACAAGTTATTGACAATTGAAGGGGGGCGGTTTTGCCCCACCCTCCCCTACATCAACTTTTTCTGTACCTTTTCCGGTGAGTTTGGTACATTTCAGAAAGTACTTTCAGTAAGGAGATTTCACGGGGGCTTTAACAGAGGTGTACAACTTTTACCCTGCAATGTGCAATCTATTTCGACAGTGATTCGATAATCCTGTTGGCATCTCTTTGCACCTAAAACGGAGTCAAGGCTCCGTAGGTTGTATTCTCTCGTGCATTGCGCACACATTGACTTCGATATCGCACAGTGCTCGTAAGGATTCATGATCCGATGATGCAGCAGTGATATCTCCGGATAGGGCGATATTACCGCAGGGTCAGGGAGAAGGCACATTCGCTTTATGACGATTTTATGACTGTACTTGTGGGTAATGCTTAATATCGGAAACAGTTGAATGATGTATTGTGGAGTATGGAGAGGCGGAAATTCTTGCAGAGGCCATCAATTTTCGATGTTGAAGACGGCTCCTGCATCTGGGGAAATGAAGCAATTGAATTGCTATTCTAATGAAAAGATTTTTAGTGTAGGAAATTATTGAATCAGTCTGTTTTAAAACCGGGCGTGAGATATTGGGGAGATGGGTTTGGAGGAGTCTGTGAGAGGGAATGCTGGGAAATTCAACTGGGATTGATTCTAGGAGGAAATAACGGCGGACATTGAGTGCAGTCACCGAGGCTTTTACTGTACAAAGCAATGGTCACACTAATGGCTACACTAATGTCACTGTACAAAGTAACGTAAAACTGTTCGGCTGCAGTGAGGCAGCGAGTCACTAATTAATCAGCAAGTATGCAACCTCACTGGGGATCCTAATGACGAGTCACGTATAAAAAAAAATCAATAGAAAACCTAGCGAATTCGCTGGACAATTCTGTTGGAATTCTATTGAAAAATTCTATTTGTTTTTTGGGGTGACTCTATTCGATAAGAAAAAGTCAGTAGATTTCCAATTTCTGTTCGAGTTTTTCTCTTGAGATTTTTCTGTCAGATTGCTTGGGCATCGATTTTCCAAGTTTTTTCCACTCGCATTCTGTAATGCAAAGCAAAACAGCCAATCAAAATCAAGTTTAAGTTTGCATGAAAGCTTTATTACATTCCGTTTATTCAAATTGCTATTAAAGAATTTGAATAGACCTGTTTATTTAGTTCCAATAAATTTTATTTAATTCAAATAAATCGTTTCTTTTCGTGTGGGATTTGTGATTTTTCGCCTGAAGGAGAAATCAATAAACGACATCAATATGTGATGAACCAAAAAATCACATCCTTTCAAAATGCAATTGGTAATGGAGAGAAAAACTTCCCTCGTTTTCAGAAAATGAAGGTGACTGGAGCGAATTGATCTATAAAAATTTTATAAAATTCATTAAAAAATGAATGGCATCAAGTGATAGCACTTGATGCAGATCGTGAGAATTAAACATCATGGGGGGAATTTATCGAGTTATAAGCATCAAAATGTCGAGAGGAACGAATTCAGATAAAATTGTATGAGACTCACAAATTGAGTATTTCTGAGATAAATTCGTATGGAGAAGGAAATCTGTTGGAAATTACTCCTTCAATTTAATCAGCGTGAAACAAAATGGCTTTTCAAGAATATTTACAAAAATCCTAGTGAAAAATGTAATAAATGTGTAGGTCCACTTTGTCATATCTAGTTTCCGATATCCACGTTTTTCTCTTCACATCTCCTTTAAAACAATGTTCAATTGATTTTATAGCCTATTACATTGACGGCATTTTTCATACTATCGGGATAATTTTTCATTAAAAATGTGAGGAATCTGATTAAAATCAATTAAATATGCATAACTCCAATGTCGCCAAAGTGTGTCCTTTTCATGCGGATGCCCACATTGGTATTGGAATTATCCCGTGCAATACCTTACTCTTCACCATATGGCTTTTTCTACTCGAACTTGGGTTTTACCTTTAATATTTGATTTTATCCCCGAACTCTACTAATTCTATAGCGTACCGGACTGGCGGGGATTTTCACCAGAACACCAGATTTTCAAGGATTACTCGTCATTTTTAACAGATTATTCTCTTCGTACGAGTATTAGTTGAACTTTTGCTATTTTTTTCCTGGAAATCTGGTAGTGCTCACAATCATGTGGATGAAAAGAGAGGCAACTACCAACTTGTTAGTTGTAGGATTCTATTCCCTGAGACCTGAGGTAATTCGATGTCCCATTCCGTCTCTATAGCGAGTGCACAATGTGGTATTCCATTTCAGTGGTAGTGAAGTATCATGAGATCGTGAGTATTGCATTATCCCTGAATCCATGCTTTCACTGATAATTCAATATTGAAATCGGGGGAAGAAATACGATCATTTTGGGATTATCAAGTATCTACGAAGTGAAGAGGCAGTCGAAAAATTGGATTTGCAGAGAAAGATTTGCTTAGATAATACAAAGAGGAAAGAATATGAGGGAAATTACAGTGAAGTACGGCAAAATGGATTCATTTTGATCTATAGATTGCCATCAATCATTAATTTAGTAATATTATGAGAAGTTGTACCTTACAATAATTAAGATTTACTTATCTTCATTGAAATTTGACGAATAATATAATAACTGGTAATTTAAATTTTTACCAATTGACTATTAATTAAATAATTGAAAATATGGAATTGTCAATTAATAATTGAGTGAATATTTCTTAATGTCATAAAAAATATCAATATTACATAATATTGAGCAGTCATTCACATTCATGAGATATTTTTTGACAGCATAAATGGTAAATTGATAGTTTAAGCAAAAATAACCCTCACCTTTAGTAGATTTTCTCAAGTCAGCGGGGAAATCTCACTATTTTCTTCCATTTTTTGCAATATAGGGTGAAAAGGATCTAGAAATGGATTCCGCTCGACGATTACAAGAATTCTTTGGTAATTGTTCTCCAACTTTTTTCTCCGTGCGTTCGAACGGAGTGACAAAATGTTTTTTACGTCATAAGTGATGATATTTCAGACGTTCTTGCAATTAATTTTCGTAATTCTTCTTTCGTCTGTAGCAGAGAATATTATTTTTAATGTATCATGTTAGAGCTGAAACAAGAGGTTCTTGTCTAAATGTTTTTGCCCAAGTTATGACTGAAACTTCGGGTAATGGGTTATCAAAATGGAAACAATGCGGTTCCTTTATGACTGGAGTAATTGAATACCTGTGTACATGCACATAAATACTTCAACTGGTCACAAGAAATTTGGAAACTCTAGA